ATGCATTAAATCTAACCTAAGTATAATAATTTTCCGCTAGTGTACGATTCTATGGGGTGCCATACGCAGCAAAACTCCGTTTTAAAATCAAAATGTAATTGCAAAATTCAATGTCTAATTTATGAAAACGTAGGCGTAAATTTCTCACAAATGTAGACTTAGTTTCCCAAAATGAAGCTTTAATTTTTCAAAACGTAGTTCAAATATTCCAAAATGTAGTACTAATTTCTTTAAAATGTAATTCAAATTCAAAATATAGTTCTGACTTGATCAAACGCCCACAAATCGTGCAATGATTCATAACTGGGTTAGTCTAGGCGACGGACTATAGTAGTAGCAGGTATGGCCGAGGAGACCCTTGGCGTCCCCCTGTCTGGCCGTAGGCATTAGGCTCTACATAGGGCCTACATCTAATTTTGTTCTTTGTTGAGTCTTTAGAATTGGTCTAGAATATTCCTATTATTAAAACGTTCTTTGTTTAGTTTATGAGGGTTTATTTATTCAATGAATTTGTCCATACTTAATAGTACTTGAATTTGAAGTAAATTTCTTCGGGTTCCAATAGGAAGCTTGTTTTACGAAAGTAATTTTCATATTACATTTCAGTTTTTATCGCGGTGGTGCGCGATATCTTCGAGTGACGATTTTTTTTTTCTGCACACGAACCTAAAAAAATCAATCCAAGCGTCCACTATTAGAAAACTTATTGGACGGTGGGGAATAGGCAAATAACATTGGGAGTTACAGTGATGACGTCACGATTGACTTAGTATTTTATAGACATATGAGCGGAGGATAACTCAATACCGTAATCAACTCAAGTTTGCGCACACAAAATCAATTAAAATAGGCTTAGGAACTAAGCCTAGTTGCGCAGAATCGTGATAGACCTAAGCATTGCTGCATAATACTTTTATTGGTTGTAGGCTATATTGAGAGGCATAGGGGGCTTAGGCCTATTTTCAGTAAAAATTTCGCGGAAATTGGCCCTTATTTTTATTTAATTCTAGGCCTAATTCTTTCCCGCGCAAGCCTTATTTTACAATACTTACTGTAAGTAATAACCTGCTATGCCTCCTTCCTCTAGTAGGCTAGACTAACTATCCTTAGGCTAGAAGCTGGTTACACTAATAGTTATCAATAAACCTTGTAATAATGCGTCCTGGCTGGGCTAGCTAGGCCTAGTAGCTTATCGTTTTATAGGCTTGTATTTTTAGAGGTAGAAGAGACATGTCAAGTTTTTTGGTAGTTTAGCGTAGCTTCTAGCCATGAAAGCTAGTACAGTAGAAGGATGCACAGAAGGCTACCTATTGCTTACCTAGGTTCGCTAGCCGTCCTTGCATTTTCAAAAAACAAATTAAAATATTTTGACATTTTATACTGGTTAAACATCCACCGGGGAGGCTTCTTTTACTGCGTAGCGTAAAAGGGGTGATTCTAGTATACCTATGTATATATAAAAATATTGGATCCTACCTGATCTAGTTCTTCTTTATCCAGATCACTTACGACTGCTTTTATGCCATTTAAAGGCCCGTTGATTGCTTTGCTTTGTGCAATACGTCCTTTTCCAAAAGATCTTACGCTGTCAATTTTTGTCCTCATAGCCTCTGTATCCTGGTCATCCTGTTTAGAGGGAAAACACAATGTATGCGAAAATGTTTGCAAGTGGGAATCAGGGGACCAGGGCCGCCCATCTAAGAGAACTCTTTCTTCCTTTCTCTTCTTTTCGAGGAGAAAAAAAAAACAATTTCTCGGGGAGAACAAAAATTATATATTTATTATATGACATAATATAGATTCTAAAATTGAGTAAATAATCCTTCAAACCCCCAAAAATATTTTTCGGGGCTTCTTCCACTAAACCACTTCCGAGGGATTTTAAGCGAAGCCCACTTACGGGGACATTGTCTCCCACCCCACCCCACCCCTCTCGCCGGGACATCATACCCCCTTTCCTCAGGCAAATCTTGGCGATACCCCTAGGTAGGCGGTTTTTTCAGCTTGGTCAAGCAAAACTTTTAGTTTTGTTTTTTTTTTTTCAAACCAAGGTGATACAGTACAATTATAAAATATGTTATAAATATGAATATAACTTGCCTTAAGAACTACAATATAATTGTTGCCATCCAATTTGTTATTGTAAAGTGTCGCTTTACCAGCGCTGCTCAATTCATCATATGTGCCGCCGTCATCATGAATACTTGTGCACTCCGGAGTTCGTGAACAGGCATCGTTAGGCCGAGCCAATAATAACACATATGCAGTCCCAATTAGAAATAAAAACACCTTCATGTTATTATTGATGTGTTTGTTGTGTACTAAGTACAATGCTTTAAATAATATTTCAAATATTTGGTTGCTTTGGTCAAACCAGTGTTTTATATATGTTTCATTAACCAATCAGATACATGCTAAATTTCATCCAATAGTGGTAAGAATAAGTACCGTAATCTAATCAGATAAATCAACAAATATAGGCTAACATTTACTTATGTAAAGCAAACTTGTCCGATTCCAGTTTCACGATGTCACGGTTACCATAAGCAATAACTATAAATTACAAACAATTACTGTCAACAAGCTTGTTATGTGATTTACAAATCAGGGTTAAAGGCAGAAGGTAAAATAGAAATGTTAAACTAAACAGGATGCTCATTGAAGAGCTAAATTAAGGTGCAAACTTTATTGTAAATTAAAAAAAATGTAATGACGTGAATTGAAAAAAAATGAAAATAAATTACTTGTGAAAAACTAAGAAGGGAATGAAAATAGGTAGGAGAACTGGGTTCGCTTTTTCATGTTTTGATATTTATGTAAATGTTTACGATGTTATATAATGTTGTGAATAAATGTGACTTTCCCAGAAAAGAGAAAAAAAAATAATAATAACCCACGTAATCACTCAAAATATGTAGCCTTGTTGTAAAACTGTTGAAATAAACTTTAGCAGGAGAAAAGTAAAGGAAAATTTTTTTTTGGATTTTCTGAATCTGCATACCCTGTAGTGTCTCAGAAAAAAATCCCCATGGGCTTGGGAAATTGTTTTTACAGAACTTTGAAATTTTGGCCTAAAATACCGGTACCGGTACCCTATTTTAAACTATTTAAGATGTGGGTAGAGGAAATAAATTAGTTTTTTTTTGTCACTTTTAATTATACTATGGATATGAAATATAACAACAAAGTGGCTAAATAGTTACTCATCACTCTCATTAAAAAATTTGATCGGAATGATGACGTCACCATGATAAATTCCAAGATGGCGTCCATTATGACGGGAAAAAACTATGTTTTTTAATGTAAAAATAATTTTATTGTTATCAAAGCACAAATACAATCTCAAAACAATATTATACATACATAAATACAATAAAACATATAATTAATGAACTACTACAAAGTAAACCCAATGAGAAAACGAAATAGTGATATTTTGCTTGAAAATACCAATTTTTGGATTGGGTATAGGAAACATATTTATGTTTTTAGTCACTTTTAGTTTTTTGGTATTTTTTCTATAAATGTGAAAATTGACAGGACATTAGTTAAATACTGATTATGGTCGTTCAGTGGTGGCCCCAGGGGGTCTTCTAGGATAGGTCCATACACAAGGCCGACTAGACCCTCGGTCAGAGTCCCGTAATAAATATCCCTGGGCTATGGGAGAGTTTTTTAGTTTACTATGGCCCAAAATTTTGCTTTTAAGCCAAAATATTAGGGATTGGCAATCAAAATAATGTTATATGGATAGGCAAATTAATATTTGTGGTGTGCGTCCTCGTCGTGGCATCGGATGATGGGAGTCTCGGCTTGCTGACGGGAATTCCCCACCTCCCAAGCAAATTTGAAGAAATGTTTACTTATTTCAATTTAATCTTTCTACAATACATTTTTCTTCATCTTGTTACTATATGTTATTATTAATATAGTATATCATTATTCTTATGCGTTTTTAAAAATTTATAGTTTATAATTCAAATTAATATTAGCGTTAGTACTGTTATTCTTACTATACTGTTGTCATTATTATCATCATCATCATTTTCATCCTCCTCTTCCTCATTGTCATCCCTATCCTAATTAGAATCCCCATCATAATGAGGATGTTGATGATGAGGATAAGAAAAATGATGAGGTAGATGATGATGAGGAAGAAGATGATGGTTATTTATGATTGATTATAATGGTTGTTGATGAGGATGATGGTGATAAGGATGATAGAAAATGATTGATGAGAATGATGATGATGATGATGATGATGATGATGATGATGATGATGATGATGATGATGATGATGATGATGATGATGATGAATGATGAGAATCATCCCTCTCATCCTCACCCTCGTCCTCATCTTCATTCTCGTCCTCCTCGTCCTCCATCATCTTCATGATAATGATGGGAACTGATGATGAAGAAGAGGATAATGATGAAAATAATGATGGTAATGATGATGATGATGAATAATGAGAAACATCCCTCTGTCCCTCATCCTCATCTTCATTCATGTCGTCCTCCTCATCATCATCCTCATGATGAGTACTGTATGATGATTGATGATGATGATGAGGATAAGAATGATGATATGAATGAGGATGATGGTGATAATGATGATTAATAAGAATTAGGATGATGTGGTTGATGATGATGAGGACAAGGATGATGATGATAGATGATGATTGTAATGAGGATGATGATGATGATGATGATGATAACGTTGAGTGATGATGATAAGGATCATGATGGATGAGGATGTGATGGTGGTGATGATGATAACGATGATTGGTGAGGATGGTGATGAGGGTGACGATGATGGATGAGGATCAATGCCATAGCCAGGATTTTCAAACTGTGCAGGGTCAAAGCCCTTAAAATTGCATGGGCGAGAAAACTTCTCTCGAGAAAGGCCTACACTGTTCCCTGGCCTCTCTGAATAATCAAACACTTTTTATGTCGATACAAAAACACACCAATCAAAGCCGTAGCCAGGATTTTCAAACAGTGCGGGGCAATATCAGGGTGGACCCACTTTACGCGTAAATTCAAACAATGTGGACACATTTTACACAAAAATATGAAATATTTGGACCCATTTTCTTAAATTTTACCCATTTTAAGCTAAATATGAGAAATCTGGACCCATTTTTCAAAAAGTGGACCCATTTTATGCATAAAATTACATAATTTGGACCCATTTTTAAAAGTGTGGACCCATTTTTAAAAGTGTGGACCCATTTTTTGTGGACCCATTACAAAAATGGTGTAGGACTATCCCAATAGCCGGCTACGGCATCGATGAGGATGATGATGGATGAGGATGAATATGATAATGATGAGGATGATGATGAAGAAAATGATGAAGGATGAGGAGGATGATAACGACTGATTGATGAGGATGGTGATGAAGATGAGGACGATGACGATGAATGATAACGGATGCGTATGATGTGATGATGATGATGGTGATGATGATTACAACGATCGATGAAAAGGATGATTATGATGATGGTAATGATGACAACAATGAGAATGATGATGACGATGACGAATATGAGGAGGATGATGACGACGGATGATGATAATACTATAATGATATCAATAGTGGTAATAATAATATTATAAACAGGCCCGTAGCGTGTGGGGGTTAAGGGGGTTACGACGAACCGCCAAGAAACTGGAGAAGGTCCCCATTTAAATTGATATTCATAAATATTTTTACAATGTTCTCCAGAGTATCGGAGATAAGGGTCCACTTTCCACCGAAACGAACCTCCCACAAATTAAGTCACGCTACGGGCCTGATAATTAAATAATATTATTAAGTAACAGCACTAACAATGTAATTCATTTTAATAATAAAATATAATTTTTAAATAACAAGAATACAATAGAGTAATATATAATATAATAGTATTAATAATGATTTTAATAATAATAATAATAAATAGCATAATACTACTATTAAAATAATAATTTATAAAATTCTATATGTGTACATTGCTTTAATGAGATTGTATTTTGTACTTTGAGAACATTAGTAATACTGTAATAATAATAATCTTACAAAAATAACAATTTTCCGAGACCAGAAATGGGATTGTTAGGTCTTTCAAAGCAAAATTTCACTATTTATCTTTCCAGTGGGTTTATATTGTGATTGTTCCTGAATTAATTATATATATATATATAGAGTTATATATTGTTGTATGTATAACATTGTTTTGAAATTGCATGAGTACTCTGATAACAGTAAAGTTAATTTTACCTTTTATAAAAGTTTTTAACCGCCAAAATGGACGCCATCTTGGATTTTTTGTGATAACGTCATCATTTCGATTAAATTTTTTAACGAGAGTGAAGAGTAACTATTTAGCCAAGTTCTTCTTACACTTGATATACATAGCATATGTAAAGGTGACTAAAAACATACATTTGACTTAAGCAGGTAGCAAATCCTAATGTCCTGAAATAGTATTCTTAGGTTAAAAAATGTGCCTTAACTTGAGGTTATTCAATTTTAAGTCCATCAAACAATTTTGTAAAATTGTGTATTCAATCTCAAATGGCAGCATTAACGCTGAATTAGATGATAATACCTTAAACCCATTAAAAACACAGAAATACAAAACCGTAATATATATATATAAAAGAATTGTAAAGAAACCGATTAAATTATAAGGTAATACATTTTAAGTCATATTTACAAAACTAGTACCGGTAAAATAATAACATTTATTTGATCAAACATTAAAATTCTATTTACTTAATAAAATATGAAAAAATCACAAGTTATAACAAGTAGATACTAATTTATATAAAAATATACATTATGTCAAATAAAAATAAATAAAAATTCATTCATGAATTAAATTAAATTTCATTGAATAATTTCGTATTAAATAGGGAAATTTACATATATTGATTCAATGTATTGAATCAAGACTAGCCTCTCCTTAATCGCTCTACTGATGTAGAAAATGTAAAATACAATTTAACCGTTAATAATTGTTATTATTGTGATTAATAGAATGGAGTTATTGTGCACGCTTGTGAGGTGTGACAAACATTACCTTAATCTGAATGTACACACAACAGAAAAGATTATTTGTTATCTTCGTAGAGTAAATAGTTAATAATCAATCTATCAAAGGTGAAATTGTTGAATACATAAATGTATAGCCATTGTTGTAGACAGGTTTAAATGGGACAGACTACTATGGCTTTAATTTAATACTGAACTTTTATTATTATTTCATCTTGAACAAGGAACAGAAATACTAGGCTTTTTTTTCTTTTATCTCTCGTCATTATTACAAACTAACAGATACTAACTTATTTACAAAACCAATAAAAAGAATTCCCAAC